ATTTGGTATCGGTATAGGGGAGAGTGGGGATTGGGGAAAGATGCCCAGGGGTTTGCAATGTCATAAATTATTCGAAAATGACAATCGGAAAGCAAAAACTTGGAGTTTCAACGGAACCCGACATCATTTTTCTCCACAAAATAACACACTTTTGTGCATGAAATATGATAACTTTTTTTTTGCTATTAATCATTTTCCTGAAGAAGTGCAAGGGGGCATCTTACCCCAGAGGGTGGAAAAGACTGCGGTTGGGTAAGATGCCCCTCCGCACTATAAGTGACAAAAATGGGCACGTGAATTGCCTGAACGAATCACTAATCAGTTACATCATCATAATCAGTTACATCAGTCTGCGGTAGACAAATAAACGCCATCATAAGGGCAAAAAAAAGTCGTCGCAAGGTACTTCAGAAGTCACCGTGGGGGCCATCATAGTCCAGTGCGGCCAAAGAAGCCTCCGTGGTGACGTTCGGAGACCGTTGTGGGGCCCTTATAGGTCTTCATGAGACTTGAAGGCCCTCTAGACCATCGTGGGGACCTCACATGCCAGCGCGGCCCGTGGGGCCAGCGCGGGAGCTCTCAAAGATTGTCGTAAGGGGCCTCGGAGCCAATAACCCTCGCGGGCCTGGGGGGGGGGGGCGTTTTTCGCCCCCCCCGGCGAATATTTGCGATAGCTCCCGAACGCTTAGGGATAGGAAAGCAAAACTTTCAGTACCTTTTTTCCCATCAATTTGACATCTTCTGAAGTAAAAAATTTGAACCTAGCCCCCTTGATGACGTCACAAGGTCCATTTTTCTAGACCCCTGCACGGCAAACTTCGGCGTCACAGACGCAAACTTCAAATAGCTGCTAAAAATAGAGTTTTAGATATAAAGACAAATTACGAGCACGGTTGTGTAGCGTTTGACCTAGAGAAAATAGAAAAATAGTTTTGGTGACCTGAGGTCAGAGGTCAGGTCAACGACCCCGAAATGTGGTTTTAGTTTTTCGCAAATAACTTCGACAAAAATGGTCCTAGAGCTACGGCAGTGGTACCATCGCATTCGCCTTGTCAAGCCGCGTCGAATGATATATATTTTGTTCGGAAAAGGTCAAGTTTTATGTTGACCTCTTGTGAACTCGAATGACCTCTGGTTGACCTTGACACATGAAAGGTCGTTTATGATGGATTTGTACCCGCTGATCACGAATCTGGCATCTATTTTCCTCTAAGCCTTTATTTAGAGCTTCCGGATGGCAAAATTGTCTTATTTATTATTACTAACTTGAATTAGTGAAATAGCCTCTAGCAGGGATACTCTTCAGTGACCTTGACCTTTGAGCAGCCTTGTATCGTAAGATGAACCACAAATAGGGAAATGATAAGCCTCAAAACATTTCAAAACATCTTGGAAGTTAGCACGCAAGATATGCGAAAAAGTGCCAAGTTTGAGGTCAATTTTTAGCGTGACCTTGACCTTGACCTTTCACTTTGAGCACATTTTCAGAATCCTCAGATTCTCTTCTTTCGTTTGACACCCAATTTTGCCGGTTTGACGCCGCCTGCCGTCTTCTAGAAGGCTTACTTTGAGATCACTACACATGTGCCGGTTTTTGCCTTTGACCTTGACCTCTGACCTTGAAAATTGACCTGAGGTCAAAAATTTTAGGTGCTTCAGAATCGTCTCGTAAGGACCTTTCGTTTGGTATCGCTTTTGTTTCCGTAGCTCCCTTATTTACGGAGTTAGACAGGGGGGGGGGCGAAAAACGCCCCCCCCCGGGGCTGCGGTGGTTGGGATTATCCCCCGGGCCCGGCCGGGATAATGGGGCCCACAGAGGCCGTCGTGAGGGCTTTCAGAGTCAGATACCGCCCAAAAAGTAGGCATATGGGCCAAAAGACCGACATGGCGAGCATCTGACCGTATTGGACTCTCAATAGTCCCAAATCGACTTTTGTCTTTCTTCACAAGTATGTACTAAATGGTTCGACGAGTTCCTTGAAGGGCGGCCCATGGATTTAGAGGGGCGTCTTTCCCTATCAGGTCAGGGGGCATCTTTCCCCAAGGTACCGAATTAACATTTAAGCAGTAAATTTGGTTAGCACTAAAACTACACCCTGAAACAAACTAGTTGAGGCAAAGTACACGCATATAAATGTATCACGACAATAGCAATGGACTTAAAAAAAAAACAGTATAACGCCTTTTAGGGCGACTAACGGAGCGAGCGGGAGGGTGAGCCTTGCACGTGCGAAATTTCGAGGGGGTACCTCCAGCTGACTTGTGCACGGCACCCTACTAACCGGTCTCTAGCGATGTGCCAAATTTGAGCACAATCGGCCCAGCCGTTATCGAGATCTGGAAGCGGCACCCTGCAAGTGCGCACGTGCAAAATGGGTCCCAACTGACTTTTGCAAGGCATCCTACTAACCGGTCCCTTACCATGTACCAAATTTGAGCGCCATCGGTCCAGCCGTTCTCGAGATCTGGAATCGACCCCTGCACGTGCGCACGTGCAGCAGCACCCCAACTCTGGCACATGGATACCTATGCATTGCCTAGTGGGTGCCTACCTACATGCCAACTTTCAGCGCAATCGGCCAAGTAGTTACCCTCTCGCCTTTCCGCACGTGCGGGGCTCACATCTCGCTCGCTCGTTCTTCGCCCAAAAGGCGTTTTACTGGTGTTTAGTGTTTGCACTACACAAGTGTACGTACATGCTTTGACAACTAATTTGGAATGTCATAAACATAATATTTTGCTGTAGCTTCAAAAATATTTGCCCATACCGATTTTCATCACTCCGTCAGCTGCCGGAGGCTGATAAAAGGTTACCTGCTTAACCCGCGCCCCGTTGAGGTCTGGCAGGTTCCACGTCCTGTTGGGGGGGGGGGGGGGAGGGCCCCCCGTCGTATCTCCGGAACCGATAGCCAGATCAGAAAAATTCAAACGGCATTCGAAAAAAATCATCGAGATGCACAAGATAGGATATCGATAACCTTGATATTTGACCTGTGACGTCACAGGGAGGTCAAACAAGGCCAAATCAGTCCAATTTACAATGATGAGAAGTCGGTCATAAAAATGAAATCTAAGTTTTCAAAATGAGTCTGGATATGATGTATATGATAGATCTGGCATGTGGATTGTTGTGGATGGCATGTGGATATATACATCACCTGAGTGGATGATGACCTGTGACGTCACAAGACAGGTCAGCCTCGACCAATCAGAGATCTGGAAGCAGCATTCTGCACGTGCGTACGTGCAAACGGGGTCCAAACTGACTTTTGCACGGCACCCTCCTAACCGGTCCCCAATCGTGTACCAAATTTGAGCGCAATCGGTCCAGCCGTTCTCGAGATCTGGAAGCGCCCCCTGCACGTGCGCACATGCAATAGCACCCTAACCGCAACACATGGGAATGCGTTGCCTGGTGGGTGCCTAACTGTATGCCAAGTTTAAGCGAAATCGCCCCAGTAATTACCGAGTTATTCAAATGGGAACAAGTTTGGCACCTTTTCTTTTTGAATTTTGCACGTGCAGTGGGGGTGCCCCACATAGATCAAAAGAGTATCTGACCTTTGGTAAAAGGGATGCAGCTACCCTACAAAAATTACCGCCAGACAATCGCCCAAGCGGCTGCTGAGATATGAGCCTCTCAAAATCACTACTTTTGCAAAACAGCCTGAATACCCTTGACTTTTCACGTGGCACGTGCCACGACGGTCACTGAGATGTATCAAAAGTAGTCAATTACGGGGTAGAAGGGATGGGGCTACCCAGAAAAAAAAGACCGCAGGCCAATCTGTCTAGCGGTTGCTGAGATATAGGTAAGCCTCTCAAAAGCGTTACAGGCCGGGCCGGGCCGGGCCGCTCATACTGAGATTTTTCCGTTATATTGAAAAGACTTCGCTTCGCTCGCTGCGCTCGCTCGCTTGTAATAAACAACAGCACCTAAGATTTTTGGCTGGTTCTCATATGCTTTATTGGCATAGGAATCAAACGAGCTTATACTACTATACTTATGCAGGTTAAATGAATCACATTTGCTTTTAACCCGCGTCCCGTAGGGCTATCGGCGAACCCTACCACCCGTATGGGGGGGGGGGGGTGAGGCGTTTCGCCCCCCTCTAAGATCTCGGAAAGTTACTGGCCGATTGTCAAAATTCAAACGGCGTTGTATGTAAAGCCTTACCACGTAATCCCAGGCACTTGGGTCAGGCAAACTTTGAAGTCAGTTTAGGTTATGTACAGGGGAAGTTCAGGTCAAGGTCAGGTCAAATTAGGTCAAATCTCAAAGTTGATATTTTTGCATAAAAAGGGTATTGTGTCGATGCAGCTCGTAACGGGGAGTCTAATGATGCTCTTTGTTTTGCGCTACATTTTCTAGAATCGCTAAACATTGAGTTTTAAAACTTGACGTCATAAATTCCGAACAGTTTTTTTCGCTATACCTTAGCCAGAAAAAGGTATTGAGCCCTGTTAATGTGTTAATGGTACACCTTTTATGTTTTGAACATTTTTCTCTTTCTTCAAAGCTGTAGGCCTGACAGCTCTTCCCGCGAAACCTATTTTGAGGGGCAAAAATTGCAGATCATGACGTCATTCTGACGTCATTTGCGGCCAACCTATCATAATCTCCGGAATAATGTTTGGTCACAATGTGTAAAATTGATGCCCGGAGGCCGAAGGGGTCCTGAAAGTTTGGTGACGATATCTGCAGTCGTTTAAAAGATATCTACGAAAAAGGACAGGGGGGCTTTTTCGGCCCCCTACGGGGCGTGGGCTAAACCGATGACTTCTGAACATCCGGCCGGCTTATGTCTATGAATGTGTCTAGCCGGTTTATCGGATAAAGAAGTGCCGTACTCGAACATCCCAAACGTTTTTATTTCAATCAATTCTGCTTTTTTGTTGCAAAATTCGTTACGTTTAAGATGCAGTGGTACTATCGTAGAAAGCACGTGCTCAAAGAAAAAATCAAGCCCGAATCAAAATTGTTAGCTCGTTTTCTTCGACAAGCGTTTTCATCGTGTTCACAATTGCTTTCGCCGGACCCTGGGTTTTTAACAATGTGTTGAACATTGAGTGAAGCTATATAACTAGAAACATTCATTGATTTTTGTTATTTGGGTTAACTTAAGTGAAAATTCGATAAATTCTAATTAATTTTATTATATTCTAGTAAGCACAGATTCGGGGAAATTACGGCTATCCAGAATACTACCTACCATGGCGGAAGATACGAACCGTTCAAAATATATTATTTAAACTTAGTCCGTAATTCTAATCAAATTAAAATTAGTCTCAGCCAATTATTTTGCCCTTATCGATAAGACCCGGTTCATTGACAATAAAAAGAACCTCAGATTACAGTGAAGGCAATTTCGTAATTATGGTTTGATCCGACATAAAGCTTATATACCTATCATATTTATGAAATGCATTCTCAGTTCACTTGGGAATGCCAACTCTTCACTCCTTCACATTTCGTTTGTGCATTGAAGGTTTTAATTTAAACATCGTGGAAACAAATTACAAAGGCTTATCAACAGGGGTGAAACTTTTCATGCGGTTTCCTTTTTAGTACAGTAAATGTGACGCAATAACTTCGAATCAGCTACAACATGTTAAGTCCATTGAACTATTTGACTTTAAGTTGTAATACCAAGTTGCATTTACATGCCGCACATAACCTGTCGCATATAACTTGATGCTTGTCTGGCGGTTTATATTTGTAACAATGTGTCGTCTACCCTCAGATCTTCACCTGTGAAAGTTGCAAAGTAAAATGTCTGAAGAACCAGATGGACCACCTCAGGAAGAAAACCCTGAGCCGGTCCCCGCCACGGAAGCTGAGCCAACGGCAGATGCCACCGAGGAAGAAACGGATGAAGCGGTGGCTGCGCCACAAGAGCAGCCTCAGCTGGCGGAGGACCAGCCTGTAGCCTCCGTTTCACAGGAGGGTTCGAGTGAGGCCGAGGCTAGCGGCACAGTGGAGGAGTCGGCCGGCAGCCGTGGTCGGGAGGGCAGCTCGGGCAATGGCACCGGCTCTTCACCAGCGCCAGGGAGCTCGGACGGTATTACAGGGGGGTCTGGTAGTGGCGCCTCTATGCCTAAGAAGCCATCATCAAGTCATGAACTGCCTGCCAACTCTGAGAGCCGCGCTAGTGCTACAAAGGTTGGCAGCCATGATCAGGTAAAAACGCCCGGCAGTAGTGTCGGTGACAAAAAGCCGCCCAGTGGTGCCAACAGCAGGTCCAGCATCAGTAAAACACCTAGCCAAGCGACCACTGACCCGGCGAAGAAGCTTGCGAGTGCCGGTGGCTCGCTGACGACGACGGGCAGCCGGTCCTCCACGGCGCGCGGGTCGGCCCCGGCCGACGGCCAGCGGTCAGCCTCTGCGCGCTCCGGCGCCACGGTAAGACTCGGTACCTACTACCTACCGTCAACGGTTTTGCCTGCAGGGGGCAAAAACTGCCAAAATAGCCGATTTTTCGGAAACCGTTTTTCTGCAATAGCTTTTGACTCGAACCTTACACGAACTTTCTTTTACCAGCATCGTGTTCCTCTCGTCAAGTCGCGTCGAATGAACTATCAATTAACCTGGAAAGGTCAATTTGAAAATTTGACCTCAGGTCAAGGTCATGACCTGACCGGTAAGGGTCAAGCTGCATATCAGTCGATCCGTATCGTCAAGCCAAACACAACTTAGGTGTTTTCATCGCTCTAGCATGCCTCTATCAAAAGTTATTCGCGAAAAACAGTCAGATATTATTGGTGACCTGAGATGACCTCAGAGGCATGAGAAGGGGTCACGGGTGCCATTTACATATCCAGTTTGTCAAAGATACTAGTAATTATATGTTTTAGTTTATAATGACTTCCGTCTAAAAAAGGCGACTTTCAGTTTTCTCCCATTGACTTGTGTATAACGGGAAGGCTGCAAAATTGACCTGACCTTAGATCATCGATATCAAACTTCCAAGATGAAAATTTTGTACATATTTCTGCTCTTATCAATCTCTGAAAGTTTCAAAGCGATCGGTCACTCGGTGTAGCTTTGACAGACATTGAAACTTTTTATGCAGTGAGGTCACTTGACATGACCTGGTGATCTGATCAGGGCCCACCCCTTCTGTTTTCCGCCAATGACTCGCGCCGCAAACATAATGTTAATGTGAAATTTTGGCTACCTGTCAAGAATGGAATTTCGGATCTTCTGGTGCAAGAAATAAGAAAATCGGTTCACAACTTTTCTAGTAATGGCGGTGTAAAGTCAAACATCCTGCCGCCGCGGCGGCGCGGCTGCTGCCGGCGACGGCCGTTCATCATCATCATCACGTTTATTAAGAAACAAAAGAATACACAAAATCAAGATAAGTAAGAACTGGTGCAAAAGCACTCGAAAGTGCTTAATTCGAGGCACCAGCTCTGTTAAAGAACATACAAGCAAATAAACACATACACACATATACAAGAACTTAAAATGAATTCAAACAAACTAAATCGCCGGTCGCCGCCACCAAGCCGAACGCGTTACGGGCCGTTACGGGCCGCCTGAATTGTAGACTGCCGGGGCGAGACGGTTCCGTCTTTACATCGCACTACAGCTCCTTACCGCTTATTATATTCCATTTGCGTCAAATTTTGTGAGAAGACTAAACAATGTATAGGCAATCTTATGGTTATAGAATTTTGAAAATCGGCCGGTAAAAACTTGAGTGATGACTTATGAGCGTGTAAACACAAAATTGTGATTGTCGCGTTTCCCGCGTCGGTCGATCCCGCTTCAGCCGGCGACATCTTACTCTTAGCAGGCTTCTTACTGCCATATTTATTGTAGGATTAATTATAAATTCACCATACATACTCACAAATGTATGTTCTTCCGCAAAGTGAAAGAAAAAAGAAAATCGGCCGGTAACTTTTTGAGTTATCGGCGTGTACACTGTAAAAAAGTTTAGCACCCATGTCAAAAACCTGTACATGCTTATTTTAACCCTCGCCAGGCGAGGGCCTTTTCCATAACACGGACGGCGAGGGGGGGGGGGGTTGGTACGACCCCCTCGCGATTGGCTCCTATGGCACTTAGAAACGCTAAATTTACAGGGTAGGTGGGTCCATAGGAGATCTCGCTCCTGTGAAAGTTTGGTGACCCAAAGTCAATATTTAGGGGGGGGGGGGTATGAGTGCAAAAATTTTGCTAAAACATGTTAACTTTTTACCTAGTAAAGATAGGGCAAAATAAAAGCACCAATGAACTCAAGAAGACGTCCGTGCGCATCGAATGATAATAGGTACTTTGTTACCAATTTAAGTGAACTCTGGAATTCAGTTGCCGCTAAGCTAGTCCAATTTTCCCCTGACCTTGTACCGGTTTTTGTGACCTGGTGACCTGACCTGAAAAGACTGGGACTTCAAATTTTCAGAAAAGGTGCGAAAAGGTTGCCCTAGAGGGTATGCCAAATTTGGCGATGTTATTTGCGAAAAAAACTTAGGGGGGTTGCATCAACTTCCCCTCGCCGGGCGAGGGTTAAGCAGGCTAAATGGGTGCTAAAATTCAGCACCCATGTAGCCTGCTTAAAATAAGGAGGTACAGGGAGCTGGTTTTTACATGGGTGCTTAACTTTTTTACAGTGGTAACACACAAAAGTCGCTCATATGGCAGATTTGACCACTGCGCGTGATTGTGGATCCGGCCACAAAGAGCAAAACCCTAAAAATAGCCGTTTTTACGAAAAAATGTATTTTTTCTGTAATAACTTTTGAATCAAGAGAGTCACGACATTTGTAAAATATCCAAAACAGTTTGGGTAAATGATAACGATAACAAGTCAAATGTATATTTGGAGCCAAATATACATTTGTATTGTTACAGCGGCGTCACCACGGTTTCAGGACTTCTAGGGACATTTTTCCAGGGCGTGGCCACAAACCTTTGCTTGAGTGGTCGCCAATACCCACCTACCCCCAAATCTGCGTTTCTCGTTGAATTTCGGCCACTTTAATTTAAAAACGAAGGAGAATACTAATATTGATTTGGGGGAAAACGAAGAAGTTATGTGGTAGTAGGCAGATCTTCAGATCATGAAACGCGTGCCCACGTCCTTCTGCCTATGCATGTGCCACATTAGTACTTTCAGAATGCATTAGGGTATCGTATAATCGGCTCCAACTGTTCATCCTTGAGAGAGAGAGAGAGAGAGAGAGAGAGAGAGAGAGAGAGAGAGAGAGAGAGAGAGAGAGAGAGAGAGAGAGAGAGAGAGAGAGAGAGAGAGAGAGACCATTTATTCAATAACAAACAGATGAATATAACAAATAAAGTATGCAATTGGCGCAAAAGTGCTACGCACTTAAATCATGGCGCCGCTTGCTAAACGAGAAGTACTTAACGTATTTAGCAACAATAATAATGATGAAACACAATGGAACAAGAAGAACGGAATAAAAATATTGAGCTGCTCTGCTCGCAGCTCCTCGGCACTCAGCGATTTGATTGCCATCTCAATGACCGTACAAACAAGAGAAGTCAATCGGATACAGACTTTTTGGTATACCGATACCTAACCGATACCAACTTGGTATTTGGTATTTCATCCCTAATGTTTTTTGGTATTTTATTGGTATCATCAATCCACATTGATGTATAAGGGGCTGCGACTTTGCTAAAAAGTTGGTATTTTCCTGGTATACCTACCCAATTTGGTTTGCGTCCTTCGGTTGATATTTGGTTTGGTATCGGTAGGTATCCTGATTTTCTGTGATTGACATCACTAGTACCAGTATAGCGCCTTTTGGGGCGACTAACGGAGCGAGCGAGGGGTTGAGTCTTGCACGTGCGAAATTTCGAGGGGGTACCTCCAACTGACTTGTGCACGGCACCCTACTGACCGGTTTCTAGCGATCTGCCAAATTTGAGCACAATCGCCCCAGCCGTTCTCGAGATCTGGGAGTGGCACCCTGCACGTGCGCACGTGCAAAATGGGTCCCAACTGACTTGTGCACGGCACCCTACTAACTGGTCCCTAACCGTGTACCAAATTTGAGCACCATCGGTCCAGCCGTTCTCGAGATCTGGGAACGACCCCTGCACGTGCGCACGTGCAGCAGCACCCCAACTCTGGCACATGGATATGCAGTGCCTAGTGGGTGCCTACCTACATGCCAACTTTCAGCGCAATCGGCCAAGTAGTTACCGAGATATTGCAACAATTACAAAACTGACACCTCTTCGTTTTGCACGTGGCACGTGCATAAGGGGTCACCCACATGTATCGGGAATAGTCCAATACTTATTAGAAGGAATGAAGCTACCCTACAAAATTTACCGCGTGTAAATCGGTCAAGTGGTTGCTGAGATATAAGCCTCGCAAAAGCGTCCGCACGGCCGGCCGGCCGGCCGCTCATACTCAGAAATTTCCGTAACACGCGCACTGCAGCGGGTCTGAGCCGAACACGAACTGCAGGGGGGGGGGGGTTGAAAACAACCCCCCCCCTGAGATCTCGAAAACGGCGCAACGTAGCGACAAGCAGTAAACGGCGTTGGATAGGTTGAGATGAGATCTACAAGAAATACTAAGATCATTTTTGGGTCAGGTCAAAAACGAGGTCACCAGAGGTCACCGAAGACAAAATGTTACGATTTTCACAACAGGAATTTCGCGGTAGTTTTTCTTGAATAACTTGTCTTGCACACAAGACAGAGGATCGATTCGAACGCCATCGTTCTTAGCTCGTCAAGGCACATCGAATGATATATGATATGACCTCGAAAGGTCAAGTTGAAAAATTGACCTCAGGTCAAGGTCATGACCTGACCGAAATATGTCATGTTGCATATCATTCGATCCGCATTGACGAGAAAAACACGATAAACGTCGAACGGAGTCTCTATCTCTATTCAATCTCAAGTTATTGAAGAAAAACCGCTGGTGACCTCAGGTGACCTAAGATGACCTGGAGATCACCTTCCAAAGGTCATAAGTGATATGTTTCGGTGAAATTACCAACAGGGACCTGTAATACTATGATCCTGAGCGTATTGAAGTCATAGGATGGCATTCAGAGTAAGTTGAAATTTCTCCCACTGACTTATAATGGGCCGGTCGCAAAAATGACCTGACCTTAGGTCATCGATATAAAAATTCCGAGATATACAAGTTGTAGCTCGTGATGACTTTACTATTTCCTGTGGGTTTCAAGATCATATCTCAACAACTGTGGGCTTGGTGGGATTGCAAACTTCGAAATTTACGTTTCGAGGTAGGGTCACTTGACCTGACCTGGTGACCTGACCATAGGTCATCTGGGGTCAAAATTTTTACTCAAGGTGTGCAAAAGTTAGGAGAACAGGTATGCAAAATTTGGCGGCGCTACGCGCCGCCGTTTTCTCGCGATTTGCGAAAAACCACAGGGGGGGCCCCCTGCAGTGCGCGTGGAAAAGGAAACTTTCCACAGACTTCGGAGTCTAAGGAAAGACTCCGCTCGCTTCGCTCGCTCCGTAACAAACCGACCGAGAGCATGAGTTGAGGTCGATGACCGCGGTCACTTTTTGGCTTTGCCCTTTTTTCATTGCCCTCCAAGACGAACGGCTCAGTCCATCCACATGCGGTATTTCGGTCCCCGGCCGATGCGGCCCCTCGAACTCGAAATCGAGCAGCTTCAATGCATCCCTCACAAGTCGTGAGGAGCCCTTGGGTTCCGTTGTGGCCTGGAGCAGGTATCCGAGAGCGCTGTTGTCTGTGGTCAGTATGAAATGCCGACCGTCGAGGTAGTAAAAGAACTTCTCAAAGACAGCAACGACGACCACCAGACTCTCATAAAGACGTGCTAGATCGGAAAAAAATCCTCAATGTGCATAGGTCACAAAAATCAAATATCAGTATTCCGAGACAAACATTTTATGCATACTGTCATACTCATCAATCGCTGGAAGTTCCAAAGCGATCGTTCAGTCGGTGTAGCTAAGCTATAGCGAGCATTGGAACGTTTTCTGAGATAAGATTACTTGACGTGACCTTGTGACCTGACCTTTAGCGACCTGGGTCTGAAATTTTAATAGCATGTGCAAAAAACGTATGAACAGGTGTGCCAAGCCGTTTTTGACATATTCACGAAATACCTGAGGGGTGCGTAAAAAGGCCTCCTCTCCACCACGGCGCAGGTTAACCCTCGCCGGCCGAGGGGGGGGGGGGGGGGGTCGGGTGCCGCCCCACCCCCCACACCATAGGGTTTTTTTCGCGATAGCTCTGAACACGCTGGCGATAGATAGAGAGCTGAAACTTGGCATACCTAACCTTTGATTCAAGCCGGATCTTTTGACACCAACCGCATTTTCGGGTCAGGTCAGGTCACTGACCTATGACGTCATAAGTGAATCTCTGCACGGTCTTCAGATGTCGCAACTTCGCAACGCTCTCACTGCCAGAGGAGCTTTCACAGGGAAATGAAACTTGCAGGATCTAGTATCCATTACGAGTCTCACAACTTGTATATCTCGGATTTTTCCTAAAGGTCATATGAGGTCATGACTTCACCATTATAAGTCAACGGGGAAAAATGAAAACTGCTATTCTCGCGCCGGGAACGATCTCCAACTATCTCAAGCACACAGAATCGTGATTTGATGCAGTCCTTGCAAGGTTAGATGCGTTACTTTTGCAATGTTGACCTTGCGTGACGTTATTTATGACGTCATCAATGTCATATTAGTTTTTCGTCAATAACTCCCGATCAAATTGAGCTAGCGAGTCGGGAAAGCCACCACTGGACTCAGAAACACCTGCCGAATCGAATGATATGCGACATGACTTCTTTCGACCAACTTCGTGACCTGGGGGCGCTGACGTGACCATGGCCTGAGGTCAACACCCCAAGTTGACCTGACCCAAACAAAAAGTATATCATTCGACGCGCCTGAGCAAGGCGAACACGATGCTGCCAACATCGCGGCTCTGCGACCGTCTTTTTGCGAAGTTATTTACCAAAAACTGAACCGTACCTGGGGGCACTTGACCTGACCTCAGAGGTCACCGATTGACCTAGGACCTTAACCCGCGACCGCCTGGGGGATCGGATCCGACCCCCCCTCCGTTTTTCTTGAATAACTCATGAACCGCTTACGCTATCAACTTGAAACTTTGCATACCTTCTCCCCATCAATTTGACGTCTCCTGTGCAATTTTTATGAAAATTTTCCCGAAGTTTTTTGAGATATATCGATTTTAGTGATGTAACTACATGGCGTTTTCAGTCAAAAAGTGGTAAATGTTTAAAAAATCGCCAAAAATCGAGATTGAAAGCAAATTGCAAATTAGGGACATGAATAGACGCAGCTCAATGAGTTCTTTAAAATGGCTATCTCGGATTTTCTATAAAATGCGTTTTTCACCCTTAAAAATTCAAAAAACTGTTTTTTTTAAAACAGCTAATAAAATCCAAAATTTTGGGGATTTCCAAAAAAACTGAATATCTGTTATAGAGCTCTACTAGAACATTAGATGTCCCAAATTTCAACTTTCTATCTTGATTTTTGACCCCCAAATTGTAAAAAAATAGCTGCAACATGCATAGGGCATGGTGACGTCATTAGCATTTTTGTGAATTAGAGGCTTTTCTGGGGCCGTATTCACGTCGATCATTTTCGTAAGAATTCTCTTAAGTTTGACCTACTTCTTAAGTAATTTTTTTTTATTCACGTGAACTCCGTCGATAAAAACTTAAGAAGTGTCGACGTGAATACCTATTACCAAATTATACTTACGAAAGAAAATCCACTTACGAAGTCGACGTGAATACGGCCCCTGAACATCGCATGTAAAAACAAATGGCACCACTAGATTCCTGTGACAAAGCTCGTCTAGAAAAGTGCATTTTATGTCAAAAATAAAAAGTTGAGAAATTGACTTTTTTCTTAGCCTTCGTTTAGTTATGTATGGCATAGGTAAACGATTTTTGTTCTGCTTTCAATGCACACTTATCACCAGCACAGTGACTTGGGGTCACATATAACCATTACCATCGGATTCGGCGTGAAAAATAAGCCATAAAACATATGTCACACGCCCATGTAGCAGAAAGTGAAAACCGTGACCTTTCGTGACCTGACCTGACCTTGACCCGTACTTAGTATGACCCCTATACGCACATGGTACAGTCCACAGCAGAAGTAATGTGGGGTTTCAGTCATGGGTATGTTCTGCTTCTGAAGCTTAGGAACGATTAGCCAGACTACAATGAAACTTTGAATGTAGCTTATATGTATCGCCACCCTTGCAGCTGCAACTTTAGCTATTGACATCTTCTTTTCGATCACTCCGCATTAAACAATCGCCAGTCAAAGCCAACCGTTGAGATTGGTAAAACCCTACATTACTTTAGCGGTGGGCTGTACCTTCACTAGGTCTTTGAGGTCATTTTTGGTGAGTTTCGAGCAGCAGCTATCGATTCCGCTGTCGGTAAGCCTAATCATGCAAAACCCCAGAATTTGACCTTCGACCTGACCTTGACCCGAAAGTTGACCTCAATCTTAATATCTTGAGAGTGCTGTGGAAAGGTCTCGTAGAGATCTTTCGAACGCCGCCTCGCGGGGCTCGATACGACCATTGGTTCTCGAGATAACAGAGGGGTCAGATCCGCCCCCCCCCCAGGCTGTCGTGGGTACGGAAATAGCCAAGGCGGTGCCGGGTTAAAGTCGGGTACCAATCTCTGCGTCTTGTAACGGCGCACACGTTCGTCTTTACCGCGACGCGCTAGCTCCACCAGGGGCGAAACAGCGAGGGGGGTCGTACCCCCCTCGGCCGGCGCGTTTGTAGAAAACCAATAGGTCCGGCGAGAGTTAAGCTAATGACAATATCAGTTTCCAGGGTTGAGTTCATGTACTTTGTTAATGACCCCAGAGTTCCGAGGCATGTCGCCCAACTGTCCCACCTGACCCAGCGTGTCGCCCAACTGTCCCATCTGACCGAGCGCGTGCCCGCAGGGCTCTCAGGTGACGGGCAGCGGCAGCGGCACGTCGCGCCGCAGCCGCACCTCTATGCTGTCGGCGCCGCAGGAGGAGCCCTGGGTGCCTCCCGAGTACAGGCCGCAGGACTTTGTGTCCGGCCCGGAGGTCTCCGAGCAATGCCCGCTGGGCAGCCAGACGCTCCAATTCGTGTATCCTTTGTCACCCGACAGCACCCGCGGTAGCCGGGCCGACTCCCGCGCAGCTACGTGGTAGGGTAGGGTCACTGGACTGATGACACCCGCACTAGCCGGGTGGACTTCAGCTCTGTGACGTATAGGTACGGTAGAGTCACTGGACTGATGACACCCGCGCTGGTTGGGTGGACTTCAGCTCTGTGACGTATGGTGTAGGGTAGCTGGACTGATGATACCATTGATAGCTGGGTGGTCCCCGATGCAGTGACGTATAGATAGGGTAGGGTAATTGGCTAATGCTAAAGGGCCATGCCTAATGTCTATATGGTTCGCTCTGACAACTTCATATTACAAAGTGAACGCAGAGCAGATTGTGATGCTCATGAAACAGGAAACCGTTCCTAACTGCATGAGACGATTCTTTTGATGCTCATTGAGAGGGAACTGGCTCATTTATGGGGAGAGCTGCTATCGTCTGATACTCTTTCCTAAGCACTGGTAAGCAGCCACTCGTTCGGTTACGACTGTCTGAAGGCGGACAACCTGTGCCTGCTGGACGTCAGGACGGCCATGTTCGTGTCCGGAAATCTGGTGCACTTCCTCGACCTGGAGGACAGGAGTCTCAGCTACATGCGCAGCTCCGCCCCCGGAGGCATCGGCCACGCCACGGTACGAGCGCCAGTCACCGGAGTGGTGCGGGTGGGTACTGACCTGACTTGGGGTCACCGCGGCCCGGTCTGACAGCTCGCCTCGCTCGGCAGGTCCACCCGGGTGGCCAGCACTTTGCCGTGGCTGAGAAGGGTGACGGGCCGAGGATCATCGTGTACCGGTGGCCGGAGCGGACCGTCTACCGCGTCCTGACCGGCGGCACACAGCGCGAGTACGCCTACGTCGCCTTCAAGTGAGTGGCGGCTGGTGGCGAGGAGTTTATGCTGCTTGTTGCTACGGGGACATGCTGCTCGCTCCGTTAAGTACAGTGTCAACTACCACATATACACGGGTACACGGGTACCTGGCATAGCTACTATCGATGAAATAATTATATAATGGTTGGATAGTTTAGTTACATGTATGTCTGTATGTGCGGTTACTGCAAACCATGAATGCACCCAGGCGCAGAGCATCCATTATGTGTCCTCATGAAGGAACGAAGTGTATATTCTTTTACCAGCGGCAGTTTTTAAACTACATATATTCCTGTTGAACTCAAGACCATTACCTGAACTACAACGCGATTACCTGAGCTTCATTCTGCTTCGGACAACGGTAGAAGCGAGCGGTCTTGTAAAGCGTAAAGTCTTGTAAACCACTTATGCATACCTAATTTTGGAACATTGTACATCTCTGTAACTGGGTAGGTATGTTCTAACTGGGTACCTAGATCGCCACAAGAGGTGGTGGTATTTAGTGGTCCTTATGTCTTTTCCCTGTTTGTCTTTTACTTCTTCTCGAACTTTTATCCCACATTTTTGTTTTGCCCTTATCTTTTTGTTAAGCTTTGCTTTTTCTCCCTATAAACATCATACAGTACGTACAGTACTAACTGTATGTCTTTGAATCATCGCCATCGCTCAATGACCTAGCTTTCTTGCTATTTACATTACTTGCTATTTGTATACCGGTCGTCTCGTCTTGTTTTGTGTACTTACAAGTCACACTTAAGTTCTCCTGGATACGTAACAATACGTAAATCAGCCCTACGATACTTCCCACCGACCTGGGTTTACCGAGCAACAAGCTTGCTTAGCTCGGTATCCCTTTTCGGTGAGGATCTGACTCCTCCGGGTGTGACTAGGCTCTGTCCCTCTTCTATAATGCAAGCTTTGCATGCGCTTATTACCACTAACCCCTGGATCACTCTCTCCTTCTTACTATCTTCTTTGGGAATGGTGTAGCGGCCAGTCAAGCTACATTTAGTCTTGACTTCTTTGCCTCTTCTTATGACATTTTACTAACTTACTAAGTATTGTATTTAGCTTTGTTTTTGTTTGCTTTCCTTTTCTTAGCAGGGAGTGTCGCGACTTTCTTCATATTTTTGTCTTGGGAGGTGTTAACGTAAGGTGCTGTTGTCGCGTGGGTCAGTGGGTGGACACTCCTGGTCGTCTGATCATGGGCGGCGGCTTAGAAAAAAAAAGTGCTACGATAACTTCCATGGCAGCTGATGGGGCCCATCCCATCCCATCTCAGTGATGGGCCAGATGCATCCGGCCACTCGTTATTTACCGCCTGGCGTTGCAGTATCGCGAAGCCTCTGTGTGCTGCTGACACGCGGTGTTTGTGGCCGGCGGCAGCGCGAGCGGCGACCTGCTGGCCTCGCAGGGCGGCGACCCGGACTTCATGCTGACGGTCTGGAACTGGGAGACGGAGAGCACGCTGCTGCGCTGCAAGGCCTTCTCGCAGGACGTCTACAAGGTCACCTTTTCACCGTTCCATCCGGGACAACTCACGTCCGCAGGTCAGACACTCGCCCAGGTCAGACACTCGCCCAGGTCAGACACTCGCGCAGGTCAGGGACTCGTCCGGGTCAGGACTCGCCCAGATCAAAGACTCGTCCGGGTCAGAGACTCGTCCGGGTCAGATGCTCACCTGGGTGAGAGACCCGGCCAGGCCAGGGGCACGGTCAGATCAGACTCTCCCGCGGGACAGCTCACCTCAGTGGGTCAGAGACTCAACCTCCCTAAACACCAGAGACACTGGTAACGTCAGGTATGCGGATCGCCTGTCTCCGTTACATTACTGCAGTTGCCGCGCACTTTTCTCTGATTTCGTGGAGTAATTATTTTTGTTGTGAAACATTCATGAATTTTAATAGTATTACCGGCCTAGTGATGGAAAGAAAATGTTTTGTGGCGTGCTCGTTCTCATTAACTGATAGCAGTTCGTGACGCCAGCTAATTTTCTAATAACCCGGCATGCCTGACTTCATCAGGTGTTCACCGCAGTGTAAATTACAGGACTTGGTCACATCAAATTATGGAAGATGGCTAAGACGTTCACGGGTCTGAAGCTCCAGGGCCGGCTGGGCAGGTTCGGCAAGACCGAGATCTCCGACATCAACGGATTTCTGCAGCTGCCGGACGGCAAGGTGGGACTGCGGGACGCCGCGCTGTGTGATTTCGGCCCAGATCTTAGTTACAGGTCCCCGTGGAGCTGTACGCGCGGTATGGTGATGTGAGATGTCGGGCGCGGTGTCGTGCGCTGATGCGAGCCGTGTGTGACCGGAGCCGGCGCGCGTTCCAGGTGATATCTGGCTGCGAGTGGGGCAACATCCTGGTGTGGGACGACGCCCTCATCAAGGTGGAGATCACTCGCCGCGACGGCAAGCCGTGCCACAACGGCACCATCCACAAGTTCCACCTGGAGGAGGGCGAGCTGATCTCACTCGGTACGGCAGTGTCTGACTCCAGTCCGATTCACTCGCAGTCGTACCCAACGGCGCCTCAATTGTGAGGATACTCGAGTTGCTGCATTGTTTATCGGTCCGGGGGGCGCTGTGAGAGCCGGTGCACCGTTGTTGCCCACAGGCAGTGACGGCTGGGTGCGCACCTGGGATTTCGACACGGTGGACCAGGCTGAGGCCTCTGAGGAGCTGAACGGCAGGTACGCGCTGGATCCGATGAACGAGCTGCAGTTCGCGGCCGGCAGCAACCTGGTCTCCATGTGGCCCCACCCCGACCCGGACCTGGAGAGCATCTGGTTCATGCAGGTACGCACCGCACGCGGCCACATACCAGCAGCTCGGGGGGAGGAGAGACAGGTCTGTCAACACAAACAGCCGCGGATGCTGTGCAGCCGGCTCACAATGGTTCCGTGTCTGCTGTGTGTCAGGACGGCAACGGTGGCATCTGGAAGGCCGACCTCAGCTTCTCGATGACGACCAGAGGCCCGGAGCGGCTGTACGAGTGTCCGGCGGGGCCGCTGCGCGCTCTGGTCGCCTGTCCGACCGGCCCGCTGATGGCGGCCACTGGTCAGTGCCGGGCAGAGGGCCAGCGACAGGCCCAACCCGGGGCACGTGTGATGCGATCGTCTAGACAAAATCCTTAAAGCATGTAGGAATCGCCGCGCTCAGTTTCAGCACGTTAGCGCCAGGTCTTGTAATACGCCTGATGTCAGCGCCTAATGCTTTTGTAACCTCAATCCTCCGTATCAGTTTGCCGTGAGCTGTCAACCCCCACCAGTCCCAGCGCTGCCTCACTAATTTGGTCGCCGCGTGTGCGCCCTCACTGTGTCGGCCGGTGTGACGCCCTTCCCCGTGCAGGTGACGACGGTCACATCGCCGTCTTCAACTACCGGCGGCGGGAGCTGCTGGTGCGCAGCCGGTTCCCAGCCGGGGGCACCACACTCATCTGGCTCTCGGCCGAGGTGAGCTGCAACCTATCTGTCACACACAATGCATAGTCACTTGTCAGTCTGTCACACACATTTCATTGGACCTCACGCGGCCTCACATGCTACGCTACTTGATCGGCGAGTTTCTGTATGTAGTTACATGCAGCGCGGGATGCGCTGACTGTAGACGTCCACTCTGCGGCAGGTGTGCGGCAAGACGAGCCAGCTGCTGGCCGGGTTCGCCGACGGCTGCCTGCGCCTGGTGGAGCTGCACGCGGGCGCCAGGAAGGGCGCCTTCGGCCTCAGTCTGCTGTACGTCCAGAAGCCTCACACGGCGCCCATCACCGTCATGAAGCAGAGCCCCTCCGGTGAGTTGGTGGCCCTCTGCCCCCCCCACACGGCCCCTCCGGTGAAATGGCGGCCCTCTGCCCCCCACATGGCCCCTCCGGTGAAATGGCGGCCCTCTGCCCCCCCCCCCACACGGTCCCTCCGGTGAGTTGGCGGCCCTCTGCCCCCCACATGGGCCCTCCGGTGAGTTGGCGGCCCTCTCACCTGCATGGCAATGGGTGATGCATTGGCACTAGCCTGTTGTCAAAAGGGTCGGGGAGATGGGAGGTCCGTCCGAAAAGGAAAACCCTAGCTGCTCGGTAATGCAGCACGGGTCAGTGCCGTATGCCATAGCATTCGTACGACCAGAAGCGATGCAGACTGTAATGCTCGTCCAGTGACCTGACGTGCGAGGCTGAACTTCCTTGGCCCGACTGACTTCGCGACCCAAGCTCACCGTCGACTGTCCACAGTGACCCAGCGAAGCGGGCAGACCATCACCGCCCGACCCGAGCCGGGCAGACCATCACCGCCCGACCCGGGCAGACCACCGCCCGACGCGAGCCGGGTAGACCACCGCCCGACCCGACCCGGGCAGACCATCACCGCCCGACCCGGGCAGACCATCACCGCCCGACCCAACCCGGGCAGACCACCGCCCGACCCGACCCGGGCAGACCATCACCGCCCGACCCGGGCAGACCATCACCGCCCGAGCCGGGCAGACAATCACCGTCCGACGCGACCCGGGTAGACCACCGCCCGACCCGACCCGGGCAGACCATCACCCGTCGACCCGACCCGAGCAGACCACCGCCCGACGCGAGCCGGGCAGACCACCGCCCGACCCGACCCGGGCAGACCACCACCTGACCCGAGCCGGGCAGACCACCGCCTGACCTGACCCGGGCAGACCATCACCGCCCGACCCGAGCCGGGTAGACCACCGCCCGACCCGAGCCGGGCAGACCATCACCGCCCGACCCGGGCAGACCATCACCGCCTGACCCGACCCGGGCAGACAATCACCGCCCGACCCGACCCGGGCAGACAATCACCGCCCGACCCGACCCGGGCAGACCATCACCGCCCGACCCGAGCCGGGTAGACCACCGCCCGACCCGAGCCGGGTAGACCACCGCCCGACCCGAGCCGGCAGGGGCTGACTGATCCTATGACTGCCCGTGCCGACTGCTAGCTGACCCCAATGACCCAAACCTACCGCCGCGCCGGCTGCCGTGGCTCCTCCCGCAGTGGCCGGCTCTGTGACCGCCGGCTGCCGTGGCTGCTGCCGCAGTGGCCGGCTCTGACGGCCGGCTGCTGCCGCAGTGGCCGGCTCTGATCGCCGGCTGCCGTGGCTGCTGCCGCAGTGGCCGGCTCTGACCGCCGGCTGCTGCCGCAGTGGCCGGCTCTGACCGCCGGCTGCCGTGGCTTCTGCCGCAGTGACTGGCTCTGACCGCCGACTGCCGTGGCTGCTGGCTGCTGCCGCAGTGGCCGGCTCTGACGGCCGGCTGCTCCCGCAGGCCGGATGCTGGTGACGGCCTCTGACGACGGCACCGTGTGGTTTTTCTCACTGCTGATCGAGGAGGGCCAGTTCTCTGTGGCCCCGCTCGGGTTCGCCGTGTACGGAGAGCCCGGCGAGACCGTCACCGGCCTGGAGTTCGTGCCCGGCAGCGAGGTAAGGTGCGCCGCGCAGCCCGGCGGCTGCAGTGACCGCCCGCGCAGCCCGGCGGCTGCAGTGCCCGCCCGCGCAATGGACGGCTGCAGTGCCCGCCCGCGCAGTGGACGGCGCCGCGCCGACAGACGATATTGTGCTTTAGCTTTGTTTGTTTGGCTCTTTCTTATTATTCGATATATCAGTGTGAAGTATATCTTTCGATGTTTGAAATACAGAGGCAGGTGGAACATACTACACTGCATCCTTTTCCCGTCGATTTAAAAGTCAATATGAATTTTAAAATAACTAAGTCAATTCCAAATCAAAACAAGCCAAGTCCCATCGGAATAAGTTAATTCGAAAGTGAAATATTTATAAAAAATGCAAAAACGTCCGATTTTTTTTTTATCACCCTACATACATGCATACAACTGAATGAAGATAACTTTTTGCCTTAGCCTTAGGCCAAGTGCCAGGATAGATAGGAACCAGTAAAACGCCTTTTGGGGCGACTAACGGAGCGAGCGAGAGGGTGAGTCTTGCACGTGCGAAATTTCGACAGTGTTCATGTCTCATGCATTTTCATGTTCATGTGTTCATGTGTTAGGGGCATATTTACGTCTGGACAACGAGTTGCGTTGGAGAGGCCGGAAATAGTGGCGATTTCAGGACCGCAAGAATGGACCGTCATTGGAATGATTCTTTTTTTTAAACCGTGGACTGTTTTCGGCCGGAATTTAAAAGTAACTACAAAATATTTTGTAATTACGTTTTTACCAAGAATGAATGCCATCAGGGCTAAATTTTTACTTCTATTGCATTTTGTCAAGAAGCATATAGTGCTGTTATATAGCAGTTTTAGCGCGTTTGTTACAAAATATGAAGCGAATAAGTGTCAGTGTAATTCATCAGTGCCAGAAGTTAAAGGGACCCTCCCACCTTCAAAAAAGTTTATGAATTGGCATGAAAGTGATGTCGCTCGGTTCAGAAAGAACGAAAACGAATATCTACCAAATTTCACCGAAAAATATTCACCGGTTTTCAAGATATTAGACTTTTACTTTTGTTTACTTTTTTGGGATCTCCGCTGTTTCTAGCGACTTTATTTTAGAAGTGCGGCGTTTGCGGCAGATGTTGCGCGCAAATAGCATATACCACCGCGTGCTACAAAACGTTTTAGTCAAACATTTAAAAATCGTTAGATATTTGCGCTGACGTCACACATTCAGAGGGGTATTCCTAAGCATTAGCCCCTCTGAATCAAAATGCTGCAATTTTGAAATTCAATATTTCCGATTTAAGGCATCTCTCGATGTTGTGAGTGCCGAAACCGGTAATTGTGAGCCAGGGACCCCATTTTGGCTATCTCAACTCAAATCTAATGTTAAGGTGGGAGGGTCCCTTTAACTTGAGGGGAAGCTATGCTAATTGCTCTTGTCCATCCACTAAAATTTATTAAATATTTTGCTTTGTGTATTCGAAATGGAGAGGGAACTATTTCATTTGTGCCTTCATGTCAGAATTGAAGGTGGATCATTAAATTTTCAACGCAGTTTACAAACAAGCATTTGGTCTCTCATATCAATTAAATATATAAGCAGTGGCTAAGAAAAGGTTGATCAATCCTGAAGTTCAGTCATCGTACCTCAACTTGGCTGCAAGATCCCCCAAGGACAGAGGATATATTGTATACATGTCCTGTACATCAAAACAAACAAGCATTTGGTCTTTCTCATATATAAGCAGTGGCTAAGAAAAGGTTGATCAATCCTGAAGTTAAGTCATCGTACCTCAACTTGGCAGCAAGATCCCCCAAGGACAGAAGATATATTGTATACCTGTCCTGTTAATCAAAACATTTTTGTGCCTGCAAAGGCTTAAGTTATCTGTGGTGTGTTCGGAGTTAGGCCATATGGCCGTTTTTGTTGTATGTTTATGTGGAGATTGAATATAACTGTGACCCTGTGCTTGTTTGTATACTTACTATGGTCAAACAGGGAACAGCACATTCACATAACATACTCACCTAGCACCTAACTCATAGCTGTACCCTGCAGGATCTGTACTTGTTCATGTCTTGAGCATTAACAAAGCACTAAAGTAGCCTAGTAATCATTTCCCACATTTTCTGAGCATCTAACATGACATACAGCAGTGCAGAGCAGCTTCAGAGAAGAAACACTTTAAATGCACAGACTCACAGCAGCCACCCAATGAGCCAGTTCCTCAGTTGACTGTTTCCCTGGATGCAGCTTGGCAATGTGAGCTAACTTTTGGCAAGTTGAAGGTTAGCAGGTAAGATTGAGTTAGGGTGAGTACCTACCTATAACTGGGTGCTACTGCTATGCAGGTCTTGGGTAGGCTGCAAATATGTGTGATGATTGAGGTTAGGTCAGCTGTCAGGTTAGTCAGGAGTATGCTCATTGCTCAGGTCACATTTTTATGGACACTTGGCAAATTAAAAAACTAACAATCTAATCTAAGCTAACCCGACTAAACATACACAACTACTGACTATAGGAACTAAGCACCTACCTACTTGTGCCTACATCTCATACCATGTAAAAATAGAGTTCCTTGGTGGAAGATTACCCTCAGTACTTTTTATCCCAGCCCTGTGAAGAAAACTAATACTTCTAAGCTCTGAGTCACTGCTGGCCATCCACAGGAAGAAACGCTGAGACTGAAAGCTTTGCCATTGTATATTGGACCAATAATCACTATCACGAATGACTATGAACACATTATATGATCACATCGTTGCATGGATTGTCACATTGACAATTCTACTACAATCCTTTTTTCAAGAAATACATTGATGATTAACATCAAAATCAACATAAAGTGGATTTAGTGATCCAAGCTTTCTCCTCCAGTAGCAATGGAATGATCGCATGTTTCATTTGCCAGACACTGAGTACCTGATGCACATTACAATCTGCATAGCATGAAGCATCTTGATCTAAGCTGCCCAAGTCCATTCATTCTAGATCTTTAACTTGAAAGTTAGCACTAATTTATCTTGCTGTTGTAAGTTATCATTCAATATCCATACCAATACATCAATATGCGCTCATCAGTCAACATTTTCTGGCATGATCCTGCTCAGCGTGCTCTTCAGTAGGTATTGCTCCAAGGTCTGCAATATTATAGCTTGTTTTTGGCCAATAAGCTCTTTTAATTTTACTTTTTCTTGCTGATATATGAGCCCGATCACCTTGCGTTTATCAACCAAAATTTCATAATCAACTTGATATTGATATTGCTCAGGAGTCAGGACCTCTGTCAGCCTCCTGGATACTTCGGATTGTTTTCAGTCAACATGCTTCTTAAATATGATATAAGTCAATATTCAAAACATCCAACAAAACGACGTACAAGAGTAAGAAAACCACCAGATAAACTAAAAAATGGCCTTGGAACAGAGCCAAGTGGTGCTCCATTTGTTTGTTTACAGTGATTGTAGTGCTGATGTATTTTTAGGACTCTGAACGTCGGCTTATAAAAAATGAAACGTTTTTACAAAAGTTGTAAGGCAAGTAATATTTATCTGAAAGAACTAAAATATTCAAAAGCCAAACACTATGAAATACATGAATCGGAACGAAAAAGTAACCCAAAAATCCAGCCTAATCACCGGCTCCTAAAACTGCAACAAAATCAGCACTTTTCCCCGCAACTCGTTGTCCAGACGTAAATATGCGTGTTAGGGTGCTGCTGCACGTGCACATTTTCAGGGGTCACCTTCTTATCTCGAAAACGGCTGAACCGATTGCGTTCAGATTTGGTACACAGGGACCAGTTACTGGGGTGCCGTGAAAAGTCAGTTGGGACCCATTTTGCACGTGCGCACAGGGGTGTCGTTTTCCGAAAATGATTGGTAGGGCCCAAAGGCGGCGGCCGGCCACATGTGGCGGGGCTTAAAAGGTAGGGTACCCCCAAATCTGCCTTTCTCATCGGATTTCGGCCACTTATTTTTTTCGCCCTGGTCATTGACAAGACAAACCAGAATCTTAAAAAAAAACATTTTGGAAGTCTAGGTCCTCAACGAGCTCCATGCACAAAACGTGCAGTTAAATAGGCAGTTATAATAGTGTCGGAGGAATGCACGCCATTCTGAAAGAGGCCCACGCCGACTTAAAAGCACGGCTGTGCTGAAAGGGGCCAGGGACGGTTTTGATGGCCCAAGCCGAATTAAAAAGACGGCTACGGGGCCAGGAACGGCTTTGAAGGCCCACGCCAATCGCAGGGTTCGACAACTAACGAGGTCTCGAAACACCACGATAGTTAGAAAGACCTGCTTGCCAAAATAAAAGGATGACGGTACAAGCCGGCATTCAGAAAGTAACATGCCCGACCATGAAGAAGCAGAGAGATACGTCATCGACTTATTAGACAAAAAAGTTCATTTATTCAAATAACCACCGCTAAGACAAACACATTTCGCGCAGCGCTTCGGCCTTCGGGAGAGCCCTCATAGTCTCCATAATCAATTGGGTTTTGGACCCATTCCACGTCCAAGACGGCTGCTTTAGTCTCCCTGCAGTCAGCGAAGCTGCCACTGCTAATTTCCTTATGTTGGGGAAGAGGTGGCAACCAGAGGGTGCAGGGTTCGGAAAAAAGTGGATGCGACAACAACTCGAAGCCACATTTCATCACTTAACTTATCGTCACCCTGCGCAAGTACGCAGGTGCGTGGCCGTGGATCAGTTGCACACTTTGTCAGCTTCCCTATAGCCTCTCCTCGATGTCTATCGAATGGACGCACATCATCAATTGTGCGCCCCTGTTTTAGAAAGTTGACAAGCAGAGCCCCGTCGGCATACCAAAATGTAACCACTATCACTTTGCCGACTAACTTCAACTCGTACCACTCATTTGGTGGCCGTTACTCGGTGTGCACTGTGCTTCCACTTGCGCAACTCGGCACGGTGTCCCTTAGTGTCAACGTGTGACGCCCACAATTCTTTTACGGTGACAAGTCAATGATATCTTCTAGATATTCGATAAGGGGCCAAACA